GAAGAACGGCCGGAGGAGGAGGGCATGGCCTTCGGGGAGGAGCTCCAGAACGGAGACTGGACCTACCAGCTACAGGTGATACTGGAGACCCAGCCTCAGCGGGGGGACCTCTACGCCTAGCAGGTGGGGCACACCAACCTGGAGGCTCCTGTCACCATCCAGTCAGGTAAGCTTCTCCCCTCCATCCCCTCCTGGTCTGGAGAGTCCATCCTGCCCTAAGAAGGGAGCAAGACTCTCCCTGTGGGGGGAGCCGGAATGGACCCTCCTGGGGGAAGCCGGCCCTGATCCTTCTACTCAAGTGAGGCTCCTTCTCCTTCCCCAGAGCCCCGTTCCTCCAACTCTGCCAGGAGAAAACTCTGGACGGGGGCCGTGATAGGGCTGATCTTCCTTGCTGTGGGGCTCTCCTTCTACCTGAAGAACTGGGAAGGTGAGACTATGGGGCTGGATAAGAGGGAAGGGGACCAGAGGAGGCATCTCATCAAGCTTAAACAAGTCAATGGCAAAGACAGTCCACTTAACCTCCAAATCCCAATGCCGATGGTCCCCCTGAGAAATTTATTTATTTGGGAATCTTTTTCCCCTCAGGGGCTATATGGAAATATCATGCAATCTATTCTGGGATTTGGAAGGAAGTCTGACCGCCCCCCCCCCCTCAGTTATCCAGTCCCTTCATGGCTCTGATTGCATCTTCTTCTCTTTTCAGCAACTCCCATCCAAGCGCCTGCAGGTGAGCATCTTCTATTCCCCACCTCCATTAATTAATAAGCTTTTCTAATTGTCTCTTCTGGTGTCCTGGAATTGCAAAAGGGAAGGGAGGAAGGGAAGGAGGAGGGCCATTCCAGTCACTGAGGGGAAGGAGCACCCCAAGTTTGCGGGCTGCTCTTATTAATCACCCCTCCTGTTGACGTTTCACACAAAAGGTCACCAGGCTCCCTCCTTTCCTGCCACCTCCATTGTAACTCCATCTTCTTTGTTAATATGAAACATCTGTAGGAAAAGAGAGAGGGAGGGAGGCCTCTTCTCTTGATAAACCCTCTAATTATGTCAATTACAAATAATTCCCTCTTGTCAAGGGCCATCCGCAGCGGACCCCCTTCAAATTCCAGGAGACGAGATGGGGAGGAATCCCTGGTCCCACCTGTCATGATTCCGTGCCAGGCTGTGTTCCCAACAGCTGAGTCCGGGGAATCTGAGGAGGAGGTGGAGGAGGCATTTGGAGGGCCATCAGGGTCAGAGGGAGGCTCTGATGAATTACAAGACTCACGGTTTGATGAAGAGCCTGGGCCCTCCAGTCGTGTTCCGGATGAAGCTCAGCTGTGTGGGGAGAATGAGTCAGACTTGGAGGATTCACACCTAATGGACATGATTGATGCTCGTAGATGCAGGCAATTAGCTAGAGCAGATCAGCAGCAGCAGTCAATACAACTCCAGGGGAGGAGGAGAAGGCATCGAGAAGCCACGCCTTGGGACTGCTTTATAAAAAGGGAAGGTGTGGGCAGTGCTGGTTGCTGAAGGCAACCGTTTGTAAAGAACTTCCAAGGATCATGGTCTGTTTTGTTTTATCAGTGAATTTCTTGTTTAAACTTCTGCTCTGTTTGCTTTTGTAACCAATTATCTGTTAGGAAAGTATTCTGTGTTTTTGTTTTGGAGAAAAACTTATCAGGACTGTTTTGAAAATAAAAAGAGGTTGGTTTTCCCAGCCTACTGTTTAAAAGGAGTTTGTTCTTGTGATGTAACAAGGACAGACGTAGGCTGGGACAGAACACCACCCAGCTTTTTCCTCCCTGAAAGGGGTGGAGCCTCCCTCCCTCCAGTCCCTACTCATCAACCACCCCCCTGTAGTGCGGGCCTGTCTGGGGGTGGGGTGAAAACACCCTGTGTTTTTCCTGCAGACTCTCCCAAAAGAACTAATTTACACTAAAGGTTTTACTATATATTCTAATTTTCTTCCCCATCCCCCCCCCCCGGGCTCATGAGTTAATCTGCTATCGGGAAAAGGATATTCTTTTCAGTAGCTCATAAATTTCTGTCTTTTTTTGAATATCTCCCTTTTTTTGCAATCCTTGGAAAATGGAGGTTCAAGATGGTTGGTTGTGGAAAGGAGAATTGCGGCCCAGATATTCTCTTGCTGAGACCCGCCGGCTTCCTTCCAGGACCTCTCTTTTGAGGCAGGCGACACGGGTTGGGAGTTAAGACCATCTAGTCTGCCCTCCAGCAATTCTCGGCCTGCCTGTCACTCCAGGCTCCCAATATCTCCTGGGTATCTCCGAGACCGCCTTCTGCCGCAGATTACCTCCCATAGACCGGTACGCTCCCACAGAGCGGGCCTCCTCAGGGTGCCGTCGGCCAAACAGTGTCGGCTGGCGACCCCCAGGGGGAGGGCCTTCAGACACCCTCGGGGGTGGGACACCTTACTTGAAGGGGGTCTCTAGGCCTAATAAGGCCTAGAGGGGACCTTCCGCCGTGCCCTCAAGACATGGCTTTTCCATCAAGCGGGATTGGCCTAGGGGGGGGATTGTATAGGGATTTTAATAGGGATTTTATAACTTTTCTAAAAATAACAGGCTTATTTAATATATATTTTAACTGTTTTTAGATATTTATTGTATAGTTCCGTTTTTATTGCCTGTAAGCCGCCCTGAGTCCTTCGGGAGAAGGGCGGGGTATAAATTAAAGTAATAATAATAATAATAATAATCTCCTGCTCAGCACAGACCCCATTCAGAGCAGTGGCAACAACCATCCATCTTTCAATCCCTTCACCGGAAATTCATCTAGCTCTTAGCCAAGCCTGGAGGCCACCAGATCCAGGGAGGATCCCAAATGCTTTGCGTGCTGAGATCTTACATTCCTGAGATGTGATCTCAGGGATCAAATGCTCTCTGCCCAGCAGAGCCCCAACTGCTTTCCTCTCCTCACTCTTTCTCTTCCTTGTGTTCCCCTCATTTCTACATCTTTAAGATAAAATAACTGTTGTCTTTTTTTTTACTGTGGGCAGAACGGCACACAATGAAATTTGGTTGCCCGCTCTCAAAGTGAAACACATAGATGACACACACCTAAACATACTATGTACAACATATGTATAGACCCACACCCCTCCATATACATAACAAATATTAAACACTGTCCATTTTGAATATATAATGGAAGGAGGAAGCTTGAGAGTTCACAATGTTAATGCTGAATGGAATGAAACTATGGCTGAATCTGGATGTTCTGCTACGGATACCACGAAGCCTCCTCCCAGAAGGTAACAAGGAAAACAAATTGTGAAGAGGATGTGTAGTGTCCCAGATAATCTTATGGACCTGCTCAAGCAGCGCTTCTGTGCTATGTCCTGGATGGGAGGGAGGGAGCTGCCAATGAACTTTTCAGCCGTCCTCATCACTCTCTGCACCTTCTTCCTGTCTAAGCAGTGATGCTTCCAAACCAGACTGTGATGCTGTATGACAGGATGCTCTCGATCATCCCCCTGTAGAAAGTGGTCAGGACAGGGGAAGGAAGATGTGCTTTTCTTATGCAACGCAGAAAATGCAGGCGCTGCTGTACCCGCTGTGCCACTCGACCTTCACTTTACAAAGTAAAGTGACACAATTTCGGCATGGTCGAAAGTGAAACAAAGTCTGAATTTTCCACTAAAAATTACCCAGTTGCAAAGTATCAGCTCCCACCCTCAAAACTATGCAATCTACTATGTTCCCCAATAAATGCATTTGGCGGGCTTTCTTATATAACGCCCAGTCCCTGGTCTCAAGAGCACTAGATGACCTTGGTTCCCATGGGACAGAAGATTTTGACTAGGGAAGCACCTGGGCAAGCCCTCTGTTCTATGTGGCAATCTAAAAATGAGGAAAAATGGCTGCAGCCAGGCTCATTTGTAGAGTTGACAGGTATGCTTTTCCATTCCTAGAAAGGGGGGAGGGGAGTTTAACCACAGAATGCTCTCTCTTTTATTGTCTAATATGTCTTTGAAAGTATTGACCACCAGCCGTTAGATGAAGCTGCAAAGTTCACAGCAGGATTCAGTAGAGTATATGCAGAAAAGGTATAGAAAACCATCTTTTTTAAACAAATGGTCTGTTGGTATGCAGATCAAAATTAATACAAATTGTGTTTACTGCCTTGACTTACAGAACAAATAAGCAACAGGTCACCAGGCTTTGGGGCACCAAGGACCGGTTACCCAGAGAGATGTTTTTCCACGGACCAGAGGGGACGTGATTTTGTGTGCTGCCTTCATCCTGCAGATGGGGCTTTGCTTGTTTGTGTGGACCGGTTGCTGACATGCCATGGACCGAGACCGGTCCATGGACCCGGGGTTGGGGACCCTGAAATAGGCCACAGGCAGAAGATTGAAATGGTAATATTCAGAAATTTTAAATCCTTTCCTTTCGGATGTTCCACTCAACGCATGCCTATGATCCCCCAAGTAGCTTGAAAGAGGGACAGTGACCTTGAATTATTTAATCTGGATTTTTGCCATGGTTTAAGAGTCCAACATACCTTGCTGGATTTAAGGAGACAGCTAAAAAGATTTAATAAATAAGATCAACTTGAAATTGTATGGAAATTATAACCTGTGAAACCATTTATGATTTTATAGTTTTCATAAACATATGTATTTATAAATTGCATATGATTCAAAGAGAAAGCCAATAAAGTGTCAATATAACACCAGGTAAAACTTGGAGACTGAAAAGAGTGGATATCTGTAGAGATTGTTTTTTGAAATTCTTTGCTCTCCTAGGACTTACAAGTTTTTTCTCCCATCAGTTCTGTTTCCAAAATGTATTTTAGCTTCTTCTCTTTGTTGCTTCTTCCCTATGCAGAAAATTCCCTTATCCATGTTGCTTTATCAATAGTCCAACTAATAAACATTTCTCCATAGCACAGACAATTATCCTTCTTGTGAAATCATTTTATGCAAAGTAAGTCATGACTCTTTGAAACCCTTTCACTGCTTCACACATTTATATTATTTCTCTCCTGTATGGAGCTTTTTATGGGAAATTAGGTTACCACTCTTGCTGAAGCTCTTTCCACACTCCAAACATTTATATGCTCGCTCCACAGTATGAAGTCTTTTATGGGAAGTAAGACTACTGCAGTGACTGAACTCTTTGCCACACTCTGTACACTTATAGGGTCGTTCTCCTGTGTGGATCCTTTTATGGGAAGTAAGATTACTGCTTTTGCTGAAGCTCTTTCCACACTCCGAACATTTATATGGTTTTTCCCCAGTGTGGAGCCTTTTATGGAAAACAAGGCTGCTGCTCTGTTTGAAACTCTTTCCACACTCCGTGCATTTGTATGGTTCCTCTCCAGTGTGGATCCGTTTATGGTAAGTAAGAGAACTGCTCTGGCTGAAGCTTTTGCCACATTCCGCACATTTATATGGTTTCTCTCCAGTATGGATCCTTTTATGGGAAGTAAGAGAACTGCTCTGCCTGAAACACTTCCCGCATTCAGTGCATTGATATGGTTGCTCTCCAGTGTGGACTGTTTTATGTAAAGCAAGGGAACAGCTGTGCCTGAAGTTCTTTCCGCACACCATGCATTTATATGGTTTCTCTCCTGTATGGAGCTTTTTATGGGAAATGAGGTTACTACTCTTCCTGAAGCTCTTTCCACACTCCGAACATTTATATGGTTTTTCCCCCGTGTGGAGCCTTTTATGGAAAACAAGGCTGCTGCTCTGTTTGAAACTCTTTCCACACTCCGTGCATTTGTATGGTTCCTCTCCAGTGTGGATCCGTTTATGGTAAGTAAGAGAACAGCTCTGGCTGAAGCTTTTGTCACATTCCGTACATTTATATGGTTTCTCTCCAGTATGGATCCTTTTATGGGAAGTAAGAGAACTACTCTGTCTGAAACACTTCCCACATTCAGGGCATTGATAGGGTTGCTCTCCAGTGTGGACTGTTTTATGTAAAGCAAGGGAACTGTTGTGGCTGAAGCTCTTTCCACACTCCATGCATTTATATGGTTTCTCTCCTGTATGAATTATTTTATGTGAAGTAAGCTGAGCTATCCATCTGAAACTCTTTCCACACTCTGAACATTTGTACGGTCGCTCCACAGTATGAAGCCTTTTATGGGAAGTAAGACTAATGCGCTGACTGAAAACTTTGTCACATTTTGTACATTTATAGGATCGTTCTACGTGGAGTCTTTTATGGGAAGTAAGAGAACTCCTCTGGCTGAAGCTCTTTCCACACTCCATGCATTTATATGGTTTCTCTCCTGTATGAATTCTTTTATGTGAAGTAAACTGAGCTCTCCATCTGAAACTCTTTCCGCACTCTGTACATTTATATGGTTTCTCTCCGGTATGGATCCTTTTATGGGAAATAAGGCTACCAGTATGGTTGAAGCTCTTTCCACACTCCATGCATTTATAGGGTTTCTCTCCGGTGTGAAGTCTTTTATGCAAAGTAAGTTCACCTCTCCATTTGAAGCACTCTCCACATGCCATGCATTTGTACAGTCTCTCATCTGTATGGACCCTTTTATGTGAAGTAAGCTGACCTGTCCATTTGAAACTCTTTCCACACTCCAAGCATTTATATGGTTCCTCTCCTGTGTGGAGTCTTTTATGGGAAGTAAGAGAACCTCTCTGGCTGAAGCTTTTGTCACATTCCATACATTTATATGGTTTTTCCCCTGAATGGATCCTTCGATGTGAAGTGAGGTTACCACTGTTCTTAAAGCTCTTTCCACACTCTGTACATTTATATGGTTTCTCTCCCGAGTGGAATGTTTTGTGGGAAAAAGGGGAACTACTTTCTTTAAAGCTCTTTCCACACTCTGTGCACTGATATGGTTTATCTTCTGTATGAAGCTCCTTATGGGCTGTCAGTTGATCAATCTGTTTCAAACTCTTTCCATACTCGGTACACTTATGTGGTCTTTCCCCTGTATGGATCAATTTATGGGAAATCAGATAACTGGGATCACTGAACTCTTTTCCACACTGAATATCTTCATAGGTTTTCTCTCCAGTGTAGATTTCGTGACATAAGGTAGGAGGGAAAATTTGACTGAAAAATGTTTCATCTTTTGTCTGTTCATTTCGGTTGTGTCTAGTCTCAGTTTCAAACTGATTATATAAATCTAACTTATCCTTAGTCTTATGCAGTAGACAGTTCCCAGTTCTATTTTCTGTGTGATCATCTTGTGCTAACACCTCAGGGACGTCAACATACTTAAAGAGGTTTTCTTTGTGTATTTTTGTTTGCCAGTGACTTTGAAATATCTCTTTTGTCATTTCATGTTTAATATTTTCTGATGTCACCATCTGTGGGTCTGGGTAATTGTCATTTTCTGACTTATTTCCAGCTAGGGAGAAAGGAGGAAAGTGAGGCTGAGTGAGAGAAATATACTATATTAGACCTTTAACATGATACCTAAGCATGCACCGAGGATCAACTCTCGTTACCTAATGAGTTAGTTCTAATGCGAATGAATTGGCTTCTCCAAGATTATCTATCTATCTCTCTGTATATTTTATTGACACCATGTCTGGGAAGAGGGCAAGGGAACTTTTTATAATTTGCGTCTTGGCAATACTGTCAGTCAGTCAAATGGTGCTCATTCACCTCAGGGAAAAAAGGAGGGACAATTTTAGCACCATCCTGGGACTTTCCAGAATTGTTAAAAACTTGAGCGGAGAACTTACTCAGAGAAGTCAGGTTTTTAGAATTCTCCCACATGACTTCTCCATGGAGAGCCCTTTGGGTGGAATCCAGCACAGCCCATTCATCCTCTGAGAAATACACCGCCACCTCCTGGAAGGATATAGGAGCCTGAAAAAAGAAAATGTTCATCATTACTAGATAAGCTCCTGAAAAAAATTCACAATTTCACTTTCAAAGCCTGAAGCCTTTCCTGGGTAGTGTAAACCTTGTCAAGCCCTCAGAGTGTTGTTGATGCCAAAAGTCACCATCATTGATTAAAGAAAAGGAAATGAATTTTTAGCCAAATCAAGGTTACCAAAAGAAGCTATTATCCACTGTTTTTCACTGCCTTCATATCTGAAATCATGGAAATGCGTTTTTTTCCCATTCCCAAGTCTTCTAAGTCCTGAAATAATTTTTGTTCCTCAACCATCACAGATGAACTAAGGATTTCTGGCTCTGGCTCCGAGGAAGTGACAATGGGGGAAACAGCTTCTTGGGGGATCCTTCCTTTCTGGGGGATCAAATCAAAAGGCTTTTTCAGAGGGTTTTTTTTTAATTACAAAAAATCAGCAATAGACAAAAAGCCCTGGAAACCTGGACTGGGCTTTGTATTTCTCTTCAGTGGCTAGAGGGAAACTATTATTTTATACAAGGAAAGTTTTCAAATAAAAAAGTGAATTGTAAATGATAAACTAGTTCAGAAATTAATCTGGAATGTAGACTGGACTGGACTAGACAAGACTAGGCTAGACTAGACTAGAATATAGAATAGAATAGAATAGAATAGAATAGAATAGAATAGAATAGAATAGAATAGAATCTGGAGGGGACTTTGGAGGTCTTCTAGTCCAGCCCCCACTCAAGCAGAAGAACCTATACCATTTCAGACAAATGGTTGTCCAATCTCTTCTTAAAAACTTCCAGTATTGAAGCATTCATAATTTCTGGAGACAAGTTGTTCCACTGATTAATTGTTCTAACTTTATAATATAAATTTCATAATATAACCGTTTTCTATTTTAACTTTTTCTACAAGCTCTTTTTCAACCCCATATTCTATAAAGTCCAAATTCACCATATCTGTATATATATCTGTTTATGGTCGACTTTTATATTTCTGTTGGCTTAATCTCTCTATCTCAATGGTCACTATTCATATAGCGAAACTGAGTCGCTTGAACATGAGATGGGCAACGTATACATTTAATCAATAAAATAAACTCCTTTTGCCAGGGTTCCATCTCCATTTTGTGTGTTTTTTGGGGGGAGGGGGGGTTTCTGTTTTTTATTTCTGTTCAGTCCAAGTCTCTAAACTTTCTCCATCTTTTGTACAGGTTTCTTCCCAGGTTTTTTCTCTGAGGGAAACTTTCCCCTCAGGCTGGTTCTGAGGGAAGCCAAAATACCGCCTCTCTCTCCTCGGTTTCCTCAGCTACTGCCTCCTTTCCTGAATTTAATTTAATTTAAATTTAAACTTCACTCTTTCTTTGGCTCTGTTCATTCACGCATAGGTATCTTCAAGGATGAGGTTACAGAACCTTTCAGCCCTCCCCTGCCTGCCTACCTAGTGCTGCTGTCTGATTGGCCACTGCTGCTTTATTGGCAGCTGGGTTGTTGTGAGGAGGGTAGCCTTCCTCAGGGAGAGCCTTTGATTCGGAGGCTTTTAAATCCTGAGGTAATTTTTGCTCCTCAACCGTCACAGAGAGAAGAACTTCCAGCTGTTCAGCACCAAAGGGAGGAAGGGTCTGCCTACTTCAAATCTCTCATGTGGGGACTTATATTTCTGAGGCAACAGGGTAGAGACCAGGAGACCCCGAGTTCTTATTCTGCCTTAGCCAAAAGAAAGAAAGAAAGAAAGAAAGAAAGAAAGAAAGAAAGAAAGAAAGAAAAAAAGAAAGAAAGAAAGAAAGAAAGAAAGAAAGAAAGAAAGAAAGAAAGAAAGAAAGAAAGAAAGAAAGAAAGAAAAAGAAAGAAACACTAGAAGGACTAGGGGTGATTATTTTTGGAGAGAAAACTCATCCCATTTGTCCTGAGCAAATTAATATGCAGGAGGCCTCCCAAGCAGAAGTGTTACACTTATTGTTGCTTATCCTACCTGGGCTGAAGGCACAGTTGTTCTTTCTGCTCCATCTGGAAAAGAAGACCTTTTAACAAAGACCACCGAAGTCGTATCAATCCCTATGACAGAGACAAAGTGGGTGGAAGGAGACTTTTGAAAAATAGGGGTAATGATTTTTAGGTTGGCAAGAGATGCCAGTATATTGCAGTCACAACTAAAACAGATCCTGTAAAACTGAAGATGGTATGACTCGGATAGCTTCAATATTACCTGGTGAGATGTCCTGAGTTTGATCTTTAGAGTTCCCCTTGCAAAGCATCTTCTGGGAGGGATCTGATAAATCCACAGTTGCCCTGAGACCTTGTACATCTACCTTATTAGAACTTCTCTGCATATGAAGAACAGAGAGGAAGAAAGAAAGAATTAAGGGAGAACAATGTGGATGCTTCCCACCTAGGGATGCATTTGGAGAAGTCAAAGAGAAATCTAACGTAGAATTAAGGAGAAATTTCCTGACAGGACAATTAATCAGTGGAACAGCTTGCCTCCAGAAGTTGTGGGTGCTCCATAACTAGAGGTTTTTAAGAAGAAACTGGACAACCATTTGTCCAGAATGGTATAGGGTCTCCTGTTTGAACAGGAGGTTGGACTAGAAGATCTCTATGGTCCAAACTCTGTTACACTGTTACTGTTTCTCTCACCTGCTTCTCTTTGTCCTCTGCCTGGCTCAGGAGGAAGCCTTCTGCCAGGGCCACTGCCTGGGAAGTGGTCTCTGCTCCACACTCCCATAACCAATTGGCCATCTCTGGGGGAAGAACAGCCAGGAACTGCTTCAGAACCAGCATGTCTAGCATCTGAGCTTTGGTGTTTATTTCTGGCTTTAGCCATTGAAAGCAAAGGCGGTGGAGATGGCTGCAAACTTCTCGGGGTCCCTTAAACATCTGGTAGAACTCCCCGAGATTTTGGTGATGGGCATCCCAAGGAAGGATATTTTCTACTAAGATCTTCTGCCTGGTCCTCTGGCCCGATTCCTCCTGGCTCTCCACCTGAGCAAGATGAAGTACTTTTCTGGTTGGGTCTTCTGCCTCCATCTTCTCCTGGATCTCCAGAACTACTGGTATTGGAGAAACAGCATCTGTGGGAAAAGTTGAGAAGTCCCTAATGGCCTCCTTTTGCGAGAGAATAACAACTTTATTGTCACTTTGAATGTACAGTAATCGGCATACCTTAAAATGAAATTTCGTTGCATGCAGCTCTCAAAGGGTCACCACGTTCACTATACACTACATATATATGACATGAATAAATAAATAAATACAGAATTATGCATATACCCACATATATTTTATGACACAGAGAAACAATAGTCTAGTTTGGGTTATGTATACATGTGCATGGCGAGAAAAACAAATCTTGCGAGTTTACCAGATGGATGGCATAGGGAACAAAGCTATTACAGAATCGGGTAGTCCTGCTAGAAATACTTCGAAACCTCCTCCCAGAGGGGAGCAACAGAAACAGACCGTGAAGTGGGTGTGTGTGGGGTCTCTAACAATGCTTTGAGCTCTAAGCACGTAGCGCTTGTAAGCAGCACTCTGAATACCAGATGAAGAGAGGATGGAACCTCTTCTTTCTTTTCTCCACCCGCCACCCCAAAAAAAGCCTTCTTGGTCTGCCTTCTTCTTAGCCCCCTGCAAGGCCTGGGCAGATGGACCCCCAGCCTCAAGTCAAAGAGAGCTCTAATTGGGGGGGGGCTCTCTTCCAGGAATGGAAACTTCTTCCGGCTACTCGGAGCCATAAAATTTCAATTCCCTAAAGCCAGGAAGATTCACCCAGTGAAAAACGTTTGCAGCTCCCTTCAAGACCCCCAAATATGGAAGGGGGAGGACCTCACCTCTCCCAGCATTGCAACTGAAAGTTCTTTTTCTCACAAGGAATGAGATGGGGGGGGAGTTCTTCCGGGGGGGGGAGTTTTTCCAAGGGAGGGGAGATGCTTTGCCTTGACACAATGCAGATCCCAAAGGCAGATTTCCAGACCAACCTCTAGGAAGATTTGGATTTGTTCTGCTTTGTCTTTGCTCTTTCAGAGGAGACGCAACCCAGAATCATCCTTTCCCTCTTCCGGTGCTCCATTCCAGGAAAAAAAAAAATTTGCAGCCTTCCTATTCATGAAAGAGCCTCCATCTATGGGTTAAAGTGAGAAAGTATAGTACCCTAGAGAGGCAAGACTCACTTCCTGCTCTCCAGTTTCAACTTCCCCTTTCTTCCCCTCCATCATCAGTCCAGCTTCTCTGTGCAGCAGACAATGAAAGCTTCTGTCTTTTAATAAAATGTTTTAGAATGGTGCAAACATACTCAATTTTTATCCCTTGTCCTTGTGACTCCACATCTGTCTCACTTATGCAGCACCTCTTTGACTCCCCTTGGAAGTGCCTCTTGCACAATTCCTGCGGAGCCTGCTAGACACTGGATTCCTTGGAGAGCATAGGGAGGTAATCCAAGAAAATCTTTGTTAAATTTAAATTTACCGACAAAGAGTTAAAGGGAGACTAGTATAGCTATTCCGAGCTTTTTGGCTCTCATCAGCTAGCTAGCCATACCCTTCTAAGATTCAAAAAAGCTC